TGAAATCCAGTGGGAGTTGTACAAAATACCAAAGAAGCATTACAACATGCAGGCTATTTTCCACTCGCAGGGGTTTTCAAACATAACATACAGCTTTTCTTCAGCCAAAATTACACTTTCCAAGTCTTACCGACTTTAGGAAGGTCCTTTAACAAAATGTCTGGCCACACAGGCGGATTGCCACACAGGCTGCCCGTTGGCCACACAGGTGGTTTGCCACACAGGCGGATTGCCACACATGCTGTCTGCTTTGCCACACAGGCGGATTGCCACACAGGCGGTTTGCTTTGCCACACAGGCGGATTGCCACACAGGCTGTCTGCTCCCCAGTCCACCAGACACACAGTCTGGTTCTAGGGTGGGTCTGTTCTCGTAGGAGGCTGGGACTTCTTGTAGAGTCCCTAACAAGCCAGCTAGCCCTCTCAGCCCTTACCCCTAGAGGACAGCCTTTTGTATAACACCTGAACCAAGACTCAGACCTTTTTATCAGCCTGCTACAACAATATATACTCTGCCTGGCCAAACAAAGTCCATTGGATAGATATCATGGTCTGGGATTGCTTCAATTGGTCAGGATCAGGGGCATAACTAGAAATTACAGGGCCCCATAGAAAAATGTTGTATCAGTTCCCCCCCCAACCGCCCCCAACTGCCCCACCAGAAAAAAAAGTACATACCTCCAGAACACATTCCTGTGCCTGCGCCATCTCTGTCTCCTTCAGCTTTTCTCCTGCTGGCTCTGAGGTCAGAGCTGAAAAATAGATCATTCTGCCGCTCACTGCTGCATAGACCCCGCACAGCCTACCTGACACCCTGCAGAGACCACCATAGACTCTGCAGAGCCCACCTGAGACCCTGCACAGCCCACTATGGACCTCACACAGCCCACCTGAGACCCACCACATACCAGAAACACTGCAGAGTCCACCTGAAACCCCACAAAGCCCACCAGAGGTTGACCCTGCAGAGTCCACCATAAACCCTGCAGAGGCCACCTGAGACCCTGCACAGCCCAACTGAAGCAGTACAAAGGTTGTCTGAGAGTGACAGTGCAGAGCTCAACTGAGACCCTGCAGAGCCCACTTGAGGCTCCGCATAGCCCAGCATAGACTCTGCACAGCCCCCCATAAACCCTGTTCATCCCACCTGAGACCCCTCAGAGCCAACCATAGCCCCCGCAGAGCCACCATAGACCCTGCACAGGCCACCATACACCACGCAGAGACCAGCTGAGACCCTGCACAGCCCACCTTAGACCTTGCACATACCAGAGAACCTGCACAGCCCACCTGAGATCCCACACAGCCCACCTGAGAGTGACCCTGCAGAGCCCACCATAGATACTGCACAGGTTCCTTTCCCTGCACACTTCTCTTACCTGTCAGCCCCTAGCTGCCTGCTGCTGGGCCCCAGCCTCCTCTACAACCACGGCTGGACCAGCACTACTGAATAACCTGATTTTTCGATCAATTAAATTTTTCTTCGCTGATGCCACAGTGTCATGGCGCAGGGAAGAGTTGCTCACCTCTTCAGCTGTCACTCTGTCCCTCACCTGGTAGCCGCGGTGTGCAGAGACTCACTTCCTCCCAAGTAACACAAGCCTTCAACCAAACACTGAGCACTGTCTAAACTCCACCTCTGTTTCCACAGCAACAGGGGCATTGCCTCCAGCCCTGGGCTTTAAAACCTCACAACACTACTAAGTCAGTGGTAGATTATTCTGAAGCCCTGCTCACAGAGACTCAGTGTTTTATCTTGCTTCCTTATTCCCTGTTCCTGCATCCCCCTCTCCCCTAGTTTTGGTTTCCTGACCTTCAGACTGCTTTGTGGACTCCTGATTCTGAGCAGTGACGTGCGGTACCTCTTGTTCCAGGTGCGGTATTCCCTAGCCTTGCCCCAGCATGTCCCGCCCTGACCCTGCCAGCTGAAGCCCCACCCACATCAGATGAAGCCCCACCCCCTGCCAGATGAAGCCCCAACCCATCCCCAAGCTAGTATAAAGGAGAAAGGGAGGAGACAGGGAGGAACCTCCCTGTCCCTCACTTGCTCCTCACTGCTGAGGGTTCTGTGCATGACAGGTTACACAGCAGGGAGGATTTCCCTGCTGTGTAACCTGTTAGATGCCAATCTGAATGGAGAAAAAGCTGTCAGCTTTTTGAGACATGAAGCTGACAGGTTTTTCCTCCATAATTCTAAGTGAGGCTCAGCCTCACCTGCCTCCCCTCACCTCACTTTCCTGATTCTGCGCTGCCTGCCCTGACCATGGAACTGCATTACTACGGCTTGTCTCACCCCTTATTGACTTTTGGCATGTGGACTTGTTATCTCACCTGTTTCCTGCTACTGGATCCAGACCCGGAGCAAAGGGCTCGGCCCTGCAGTACGTGATGTTTGGGCATATTCCAAAATGACAATGCCAGGATTCAACAAGCTCAAGGGATTTTGACTAGTAAAAGACTAAAGGTAAAGGTAAGGCTGGAGTTTAGCTCTAAGCAAAGTGAAAGTGACATTCCCACAGTCCTACAAATCAGGGAAGGGTCCAGGCTGAACCCGGCTGTTCCTTACTGGTCGGTCATGCTGTTTGCTTATAACTCTGTGCCCTATGCAACATGTAGAGGTTCTGGATGCACAAGCAGATGTGGCAGCATGGACACAATGCAATCTATAATAATACCATATACATCTGAGCCTGACTTCTCAAAATACGCTTCAACTTTCTGCCTGTAGCAATCATCAATGCGTTTACTTTTTCTTACAGATAAAGTAAGTGAAACAGGCTTCTTATCAGCTTATCACTTTCTGTAATGCATTCTGTGATTTTATCTCAGGCATCGTTATCAGCCCTCCTAGTTTCTTATTGTGCACTATTGAAAACTTCCACTATGTAATGGTGATATGTAAAAGGGGATCCTTCCCTAGGGTGACACGTTTGCTCCTCTATAGATACAGTATAGTGAGTGGGTATTGTCACCCTTGTACAGAAAGTATGTTACTAGCAGGGTCACCAGATTAAAATAAAGGAAAAAAATCCTTAAAAAGAAAACTAACACAGCCACCACATCTAAGGACTGGTAAGCTGTACTATATTACATCTTTGTTCTTGAGGTTATATACTTTTCAAAATGACTCGTCCTATGAAAAAAAAGTTTATGTAAGTTATAGGAAGTAATTTGCCATCTTCTGGTTCAAAGGGG